GCTGAACAAATCATTATGCACACTGAAAGCAAGTAACACCTTTAAGACTTAATTGTTTGCAGGTATTAGCTTACCTTATCTTGATTTACTAAGGAATACACGTAGAGGGGAAGAAAGAGCCTATTAAGTAGGTGGTCTGTCAGCACATCATTTAAAAATTCACAATTAATGATAAGGATATCATTAAGGTAATGTAAATGATCAAGATGTTCTGCTACCAGGTCACTCAGTTTGCCCCTATTTCTGTGCCTGAAAAAGAGAGCAGAAAGAAAGTCTCAGATAAAATTGTCAAAGTCTTAAAAACTTAAGGAAAGAATTCATGTGCATCCCTTCCACAGATTGACTGCCTAAAGATGTTTTCAGTAAGGTCAACTAATGCAGCTAGCAAACAGTATTCAGGCTTATATGTGCTTTAGGATGCACAATACCAAGTTTTTCTCCAAGTTTTCAGAACCAATGTTTTCACAAAACCTCACTCTGACAGTAGAGTCTTTTCAAGCCAACCATGAAAACTGGTAAGATTTGTTTCCAAAAAAAAAAAAAAAAAAAACAAACAAACAAAAAAAACCTCTAAATTGTATTTAACATCTAGCTCTTCATTTTAACAAAGCAAGAAACAGTCGCCCATTCTAAGGTGGAGGTGGGAAGGCAAACCGAGAATAACCTGCATCAACAAAATATTTCTGTAGGTGATAGTGGAGTATTACACAGGAATTTCAGGTCTGACGGTTCACATTATTTAGTAAGTTCTCCTTTCCAGGTTATTTTTTTTTTCCTAGAATCTTTTCAGAAAGCTGTTCTACTGAGATAATACACAGAAAAGGAACATTAAAAAGACAAAGTTAGTAAGATTGAGAAGTATAAAATACCTTTTGTATCTCCTAGATATCTACTAAAATTAGCAGAATTAAAACAAAGATGAAGAAAAAACATGTTGCCAAACACTAATTTACTTGTACAGATACTAGCACAGATAGGGCACACAGCACTAACCACCATTAATTCAAAGAATCACTAAAAAGCTTTGCAAGAATGAAAAGCTAGCTTGAACTGTCCTCAAGGGAACATACTCAGAAACGAACTTAACTGGACTACTACATATAAAATAAGGAGAGTATCAACATCTAGGAAGAGCATTTCCATTCAATACCCAGTATTTGTAAAAGCTTACTCTTCATCAGTCTGCACACAGTTATCCAGTTCTATCACGTGGCTTCCAATAAACCAAACGAGGTTGGAGAAATAAGGGACAGCAGTTTTATCTCTAATGTAATGCAGCATAGGTTGGTTGTCCACTGAAGAGAAATTATTAAAAAGAAAAATCAGTTGCCAATTTTTTCTATTAATTTTTAAGAAATACAACACAGTATCTGCTGAATTTTGATTACATGCTAGGTTTTCATACGAGTATATACTGACATGATCTTATGCATGAAATGAACATCTACAAAAGCATCATATCAATTCTTAACAGGCTTGAATGAGCCTAATATTGATAAATTGACATAGCTCTGAAGATAAACAAGTCTAGTGGAAGTTAGGTTTTTTTTAGTACATTCTTTATTAAAAAGAAGAGGTAAAAAGCATAAGAATAAAGCAGTAATGCTGAAAGTCAAGCTAGTTAGACTTACATGACACTGCATTAAGGAACACAGGAATCATCAGTGAAGGAAGGGCAAAAGAAACAGACAACAGTTAACAGGATTAGGAACTGGGATAGTGACATCCTCCAAAAGGGTTTAAAAAGCTAAAGCACAAAGCATCTAAACTAAAAGATAGAGGGCAGGTGTTAGATCAGAATATATACAAATGGATAGTCAGAAAAATTATGAAACCTGACATCTCAGCTGTGTTTTTTTAACTCTAACCTTTGTATCACTACAAAATTCCATGAAAATTCTAGATATTTTTTACCATAAAAATACTTAGTTACATATAGAACAAGTAGCATATGAAGCCTGCACTTTGCTCTTTGTGAGCTCATATTTGGGTTTACAGTTCCTTGAAGCAGAAAACAAGTACCAAGTGCCCATTTCTCAACATACAAAAAGCCATTTTTTCTGTTGCACTCAACACTATAAAGAACCTATCTGCTATGCAGGTTATCCAGTTATTTGCAAAGTCCCTTGTTCATTGTTTTAAAAAAGATCTTATACTCTTCTATAATGAAGACTGTCATCAAATCACTACTCTTAATTGACAGAAAGTTGTGTAAATTCAAAATGTAATTTAATTTGAAACGGATTAAAGAATAAGAAGCTCTGCATGAACATATTCCATAATACATACTACCTCACAGCATACTGATTTCAGAGGTAGTTCTGAATACACACCAATTTTTCTACAGAGATCACTGTGGTATTTTCAGTCTATTACTGATTTTCTAGACCCCAAGAAAAATGTAGGAAGAATTGACTTTTGGATGCTATCTAGTCCAAACTCATTTTCAAAGTAGCACTAACTTTAAAGTTCAACCAGGTTGCTAAGGGCCTTGTCGAGTTTTGATGATCTCAAACAACACAGATTGCTCAGTTTCTCTAGAAAACCTATTGCAGTGCTTAACTACTCTCACAGTGAAGTTTTGGGTTTTCCTTATGTCCTCCTGGAATGTCCAGTATAGGAATTTGTGACTGCAGCCTCCTGGCCTTCACTGGCCACCTCCGGGAATGGTCTAGCTCTTCTTTAGACTGGAGTGACTGCAGCACCTAGGAGCTCCATAATCATATTCTAATGCATTTCAAATCCAAAAGAAAGTGATGTAGCCCACAAGGTTACTGCTTCATACATTATAAAGCTCAAGTTCGTAAGTAAAAAATACTTGATATTCTTAAAGCACTTTAGTTTGGTGGTTGGTTTTTTTGTTTGCTTTTTAAATACAGTCACATTCTGATCTCTGCAGGAAGGGAAGCTAAAGTTCTTTGTGTGTGCTTGATACTCTTTTGGTTTTTTTAAACCAGTTTAATCTGTGAGTAAACAAAACTCTTTACAAGTACATACCATAGGTTTGGGGTTCTGTTTCATAAAAACCAAAATGTGTATCTGAAGCATGTCAACATGCTAAGCTTTTCAATCTCATAAAACAGACAGAAAACCCTTAAATGTAAATAAATGAAAAATGAACTACAATGAAACAAGCATTTTGTACACGTGCCTTTTTTAGTACACAAAAAGCATACCTTTGTAGACATTTAAAGTTATAGTCCTAACAGCAATCCTGACCATGCTTTCTGGGTGGTTAAAAAATTTAATAGCTTCAGTGTACAAAGCGAAGTCATTAGTGTGCTGTAACAAGAAGAAAGAAAGTATTTATGAATTAACCAAAAACATGTACAGAACATGTTGGGATTCTGTAAGACAAATGTTTTCGATGTATTACTGTGATATTTTTACCTTCTACTTAAGTAATCGAAATGATTTTACAATGCATAGTCAGCTGCATTTGTAGCTCTGCATTAAACTAAACTGCTTTAAGCATCAGAGCTCTCCACGTTAACTCTGCACATATTCAGTGCTTTAATGCCCTCTTCTGGCAAAAAGCGGAATGGAGCGAGGAAAAACCCATTTCAACTTTGGCCTTTCATTACTCAGGCTTTTTAGAAAGGTTTTAAGCCTCTTAGAACCAAGTGGTGCAACAGAAAAGATCCTGTTTATAAAAGCACAAGAACCCAAGGCATAAACAAGCTGAATTCTCAGGGAATTAGACTTCAGAACTACTGAAACAGCCCAATGTCACACTAACTTCCAGATTTTGATTTTATTACAGTTGTATGAGGACAAAGACCTTCTTTGTCACGTTTTTGCAGAGATCCTCACAAATTAATTCTCAGTCACTGATATTACTGTAATAAAAATGAATGCCGGACATGCTGAGACAAGAGACTAAATAGAATGTGCCAAATTGCTATCAATTTCTAATTAAAGTCCTCATATCATTACACTGCAACTCTTTCTTCACTTACCTCATTATAAAAGAAATGTACAGTATGATTGTTGAGTTTCAGGGAAAGTGTTTTCAAAAATGATATGTAATATGCCATGATCTCTTCATCAGAAAAGTCAAATTTGTGGACAATAATAGAATTAACATAGTTATTAGAGAGCAGGTAGTCTGAAAAATAAGAGACATTACAAAGGTTAACAGAAAGAAAAAAATCATCATGCTAACTAGCTGTATTTAAAGGACCAGTTAGCAACAAACTACCTGATACTTGAAGATTCCAATCTTTAGCCAAACAACTCAAGTGATGGCTTAAAGTGCTATTATAAGAAAATTGTTCCCTACAAAGGTCTTTGCTCCTAAGAACAAGACAACTGAGAATGCACTTCACCTTCCTCAATTTATGCAGGCTTTGCAGCTAATAACACTTAAAACAACTCTCTTTTCCTCCCAAAGTCATAACTCTCAAAGACCTTCTCTTCATGATAGTTGTGGAGTGCTTTAAACTATTAATTCTTTGTCCTCTTTACATGTTTCTAAAAACCGTGAAGTAAACACAAGTGGCTGAATGCCAGCCCCAATGATGTCAGAACAGTTCCAGCACAAATTACACAACAGAGTTCCACCACATAATCTGCTGCAGCAAGGTGAACATTTCAGACCACAACTAATTTGCTGACTTAACCCCTTGAAATATGCTAGATATGTTTCAGTAGTACCAAACAATTACTTTTATACTACTGAAAATTCTCGTTAAAAGGTATTTTGGGGTCACATTACACTGTATTTTCAGTAGCATTCAATTAAAAAGATTGTTAGGAATTCATATAGTCCTGTGAAGGGGCACGAGGACTAAATTTCATTACATGAAAGGGAATTAAATCAAATCTTGATCACAGTCCTAAATAGTTTAAAAGTGTGCCCTTACACAATGATGTTTCATGACTGATGTTCTCAAAAAGGATGTTCAGAGTCTGCAGAAGCTGTACACACACGTAACGACCAGACTTCTGACGCAAGATGTTCAAGAAGAAAACAAACATATTCTTCTCCAAGAAAAAGCTGAAATAAAACAGAGGTGTCATTAAGTCACATGAAGTATTTACCAGGAATATAACTTTACTAGGATCAGGGATGACAAATAGCTTGTTTTACAGTTATGAAGAATTATTTAGCAAAGTTTTATCTGTGTAACAGAAGACTATCTTCCAAAAAACTTCAATACTAACTTAAACATTCAAATTATGCAGAAAATGGATATCAAGAAATCAGGGCCTTTTTAATTTTATTTTCAGTATATTCAATTTATCAGGCAGTTTCCCTAACTTGCAATCATAATTTTGAAGGGCAGAGACTCTAAATGAAGGTTACGTTTTCTTCACTTGCCTCTTAAGCTAGTACACTTTGTCTTCAACACCATGGACCTTACTTTTGATCCACTTTTTTTTTCCACACCAGAAGCAAGCATTTCATAGTTTATTGTACAATTCAAACAGAGTGAATGTTTGCAGTGTTTTTAAACCAGAAATGAATGCAATTTAAAGAATATAGTGTGGACTCTTTCCTACCAGGACATCACAAATACATGTCTCTGAAAAATTGTTTACACTAACTGCAGAAAAAAAAAACTCATTTCTAAAATTCTCCCAAGCAGAGAAGACAGTGAGGGATGTGATGGAGTTACAGTATACATATGAATAATCAGAATAAGTTCACTTTCTTAGTCTACACCATAACCCATTCATGTTAAAATCTTGTAAAAATAAAACCAACCACTCCCTAAATAAGTAATTAAAAACATTGAACAGCTTAGCTTTACTTATTTCAATCACAAATTGCCTTTATAAAAGAGCCAGTGTCTTGAAGCAAATTGCCAAGCAATGGGCATTAATAGTCAGATTTGCAACTGTGAATATTTGTTTTGAAGTTCTTTTTTCTGTCATGCTATTTTATGAGGATCAAAATAACATCTGAACAAAAACTCTAAAAATCATAGCTAGAATAAGATACCTATTTGTAGTGTCTTACATTAATTGAAGTGAACAAATTAAAGTAATACGGTATTAATAGATGCACTGAATGAATTTAGGCCCTAAAAAAGGTTAGATTTTGTATTTATATCAAAGATTTGAGAGTCAAACAAAAGCAGTACATGGAAAGGGCTCTGGAATTCGAACACTTTATTGTTAAAAGCAGCAAATTCTCTGTTTCTTTGTATGACAAGAATATGATCCTACTTACCATCTACTAAAGGACACAGGTTTCTACCTTACACATGAAACAGAGTCTTAGAAGAGTTAACCTTCTGAACTAGATCTCTATGCAACTCTAATCATTCTTCAAAGACAGAATCAGACTCAAAATAGAAATACTTACTCAAATACCGAGCTGTCATTCTGATCTCCCCATATAAGGATCTCTGTTATAGAACGAATAGTCTCTACCAGCAGGTTGCGGTTGTGATCTGTTACTGTTGTATTTTTAGTCAAAACATGATACATGTACCTGAAAGAAAAAATAATTACAAGTAATATGCTATCCTGCCACTTTCACATGCACCGTGTTTGTCTTTAGTCACTGTAACTTAAAGCAGACACACACGTACACACACACTATGTCTAATCATTGTACATTTTTAAAATCCTAAAATTTCCTTTTAATATTGATACAGAGAGAAAAGTAATTGTTAAACAGAATATGTGACAAACAAATCCATAACTAACCAGGAGAGTTATGAGTGCTTATGTATATGTTAACATTGGACTGTAACACTTGTCCCATGGTGGTTCTTATGGCAAGCTAGTGAATTTCTCCGGAAGTATGCTAAAGTCAAAAGAATCATGAACAAGAAAAAGGAGAAATAGAAGCAGCAGGTAGGTACGCAATAGCTGATATGGGTAAGTGTAATTCTGGAAAGAGGTACATGCAGATCTAACTAGAAAAGTTAGATCCCTTCTCTCATCTGTAGAGACATTTTGCAGACTCACGTCAATTTGATGGTTAATAATCAGGACTGTCAAAGACTATTCATTCGTCTTGGCAAAGCTTAATCATCAGGTCTCTGGTCCTTCAAGCACAGAAAGACCAATCGGAGAGGTGGCAAATTCCAGCTTTACCATCTCAAAGGGCAAGAGTTTAAGGCTGTCTAGCGAAGTTTAAAAAAAATAGTCTATATTACACAGGTGACAGGAAGCTAAACAAAATTTGAAAGGCTTGTATTTTAAGTCTCAGAATTTTACTCAGTTAAGGAAGAATATATCTCTTTTTTTTTTCCAAAATAAGGTGTTACATTAAAGATTACTTTCCTTCATCCTAAAAAAAAAAGTGTGGGTGGGCAAATTCTAATAAAAGCACAAGAATCACCACTGCTTTTCTCTTTCTGTTTTTTTCTTTTTTCTTTTATATACTAACACAGAAAATGGATGGATGTAAGAAAGGTGCACAATTATGAAAGTAATTAAATAAAAAATATAATCAGAGAAATTTCATGTCATTTTAAAACTGAAAGAGTTTACTATATACTAACACAGAAAATGGATGGATGTAAGAAAGGTTTACAATTATGAAAGTAATTAAATAAAAAAGTATAATCAGAGAAATTTCACGTCATTTTAAAACTGAAAGAGTTTAGATTACTAAACACAGGTCAGATATTGCTGTACTGCAATCTATTGAAAACCAGGAGTAACACCTGAGAATTCAGGATTATCTGCGCAATATACTTCCACAGAAAATGGATGGATGTAAGAAAGGTTTACAATTATGAAAGTAATTAAATAAAAAAGTATAATCAGAGAAATTTCACGTCATTTTAAAACTGAAAGAGTTTAGATTACTAAACACAGGTCAGATATTGCTGTACTGCAATCTATTGAAAACCAGGAGTAACACCTGAGAATTCAGGATTATCTGCGCAATATACTTCCAAGTGTTTGCAAAGGAAGACAGATTTTCCATACTATCAACCTTCACATCAAAAGTGGAGTTAATCAAAACTCCCACCATCTATTTTTGGGAAAATAGCCTGAGTGCCCTGACTCTGGGGTAGTCTATCATTATTGTTTCAGATTCCATGAAAGTTTGTTCAGTGATTCACGTTGGAATTTTAGGAATCCTACTAGTACCATGCAGAAGTTTATAAGATCAATAAGCCGATTTTTAAGCGACAGACCCAAAGTCTCAAGCAGCTATTATGTAAAAGATAAAAATATCAATTTTGCCAAGCTACTGTAGGGTTCCAGGAAACACTATGCATTTCTAAAACAAAACTTCGGGGCGTCTGGTTGAAAGCAAGTTTCAGAACTTTAAGTCAAAACCAGACTTGAAATCACATTTCAAAAAACAGTATTCCCAGTGATTTTATCTACACTAAGAAATGGAACCACTGCACAGGGCAAATACGCAGCTGGAGACTAATATGCCATTTAACTCAAAACACATATCAGGCTGTTGCAACTATTTATCAGACTTACAAAGACAAAACAAGATATTATGTAGTTTCAGAACCCTTTTCATGCTTGAATTCAGTAAAAGAGAGTTTGATCATATTTGCAGTTTACTTAAAATTTGCAAAATTTGGTTTGAGGAATCTTTTTCAACCACCGAGCTGCCACTCAGTTGGCCAGAGCTTCACAGGACTTGTTGCAAGACATAGTCCGTTCTCCTAAGCCATGCAGGAAGTAGAAGCTAGTTCAGATAAGTTTACTATGCTGCTATGGTAAAATGCTATATGCTTGCTGATGTTGATATCGCTTAATCATCAAATAATGATTTTACTGTGTTGAGCACTGCACAAGGACACTGAGAGGTAAACAACTCTCAGAAGTTCACAGTTTTAACAAACTTGATATACAGCATGCTCCCTTCCCTCCCGCCCAAAATCAGCAATGTGATAAAGCCTACATCATATTAAGGTTGACCTACCAGACAGCAGAGGAAACATGAAGAAAAAGGGAAGAGATGACAGGAGAGGGAAAAAGATTGGTTTTTCCTACTCCTCCTTTTCAGTAAAAAATTTTCTCTCCCTCTCCATGCTGTTTTTTTCCCCTCATAAATCAATACTCATTTTCCAAATCCAGAACAGAAACTGCTCAGATTGAAATCATTCTAGGAAAAGTTGATTCATAGTTATCTCCTACAGGCATAATTGTCTGGTCACACTCCGAGCCGCAGCAGAAGTCATTAAACAGCAAGTCAAAGAGGACACCTGCAAATCCTCTTCAACTAATCTGAGGATCATGGTTCAAGATTCCTTCTATGGAGACTAACAGTGTGATGGCTCTCAGTGAAGAGGCGAGCATTTAAGTCTGACCACCTGTAAGAATTCCAAGGGCTTTGTAGAAGAGGAAGACCACACACAAGCCCTGCAAAACCTTCCCATTATGGCACTATATGTATTATCAGGACAGTGGATCAAAAGGCAGAGCAAAAACCAAGTCACTGTTCTGAGCATGCAGCAGTTAATGGAATAGTGAACAGCTGAAGTCAGTAGGCAAATAAATCAGAACAATTCATTCCACAGCAATCTGTATAGTAAATATTTTTCCTGAGAGAGTTAAAGACAGTAATTAATACTATACTACTTCACATATTTCAGCCTATTTATCTGAAGTCATATGTAAATTACTGCATCTGTGAACATGTATTTCTCATTAGTAAGTTATGTTGCACAAACTTGGGAATAAGTTTACTCCAACAGCAGAACTCTGGGAATGGTAAGCAGTGGGAAGAATAATATGCTATTACCTCACCTCGGGAGTCTATGGAACATAGAGCATTACAGATGCAAAAAGTAAAAAACATTTAATAGTCAGGAATACATTAACTCCAAATTAATTTACTTAATATCAACATTACTGCGAAGTTCGTTGATTTACTAACACACTGATGCACTTAGAGAAAACCTGGGCTTCACTTTCAAGCTATTTCTTTATCTACTTACTTGAAAATGAATGAGAAAGCATGCACATAATTGTTTCTCTTACCAGACATGCACCATACCATATCATGAGAATACAAAAGTATCACACAAACCCAGTGTTTTTATATTTACATAAATCCTTAAAGCCTATCTTTAAATGCTGATTACAAAGGGCTGAAGTTTGCGGTCCAAAATGCTGAACTCTCAGAGAGGAGGTTTTTATCATCTCTCTCGTATATATATCTGAAGACTGGGTTCAAACAAACAAAAACCTAATAAAAACCCACCATGCAAGAAGTGTCAAAGCATCTGATACCATCAAAATCGGTGGGAGATTTTGCCAGCAACTTAACAAGACAAACAAAATTCTAAACATTTTTCTGGTAACAAACCATGCACAAAGGGATAACATAATAACTCATGAATACAGAAAGTGTGTACTAATTACTTTCCTACTTATTACTTACAATAATACACTAAAACATATAAGAGTTTACGAAGTCAAGCACTCAAATTTAAAACCCTCAGATCTAACCATAACATGCTTGCTTCTTCATGCTGCCTGTAACTGTGTAATTACATATTGTTCTCATAGAGGAAATTCGATATATAGCATGGACAGTACTTCAGGAAATGAATCAGGTGTGCAACAAGTCTTCAGCCATACATGTTTATGGATACAGCATCTGACCAAGTCAGGAGAAATGTTCAGCACCCAACTCTAATGGTATAAAACCTTTTGTGCAATCAGTATACAATTAAAATACCGAGCGTAGAAGCAACAATGGGAAACATACTTGAGGGTAACAACAATAGGGCTATATAAAAATACCTCTTCGCAAAGTAGGGATAAAATTTGCATCTAGAAACAAAGATACTAGGCTTAAGTTCCAAAGCCTTTCACTTTAGTAGGAACACCAGAGATACTATCAGACGAATTCTTCAGAAATGGTGAAGATATCACCACTTAAATACTGGGAAAAATTACATAAATTCTTTTCATCCACTCCAATGCAAAGTCCAAGTTCGTAGGCAGATGGTGAAAGAAGATACAGTTATGTTCTCAGGGAGATCTGACCATGCATCTGCTACTGGGCTGTATGGAAGACTTTCTGGTACTTTAACCATAGGTCACAGCTCCTAAAGCGAGGAGTTGCAGAAGCAGAGTACAGCAACTATCACAGTCAGCGGCTGGAGAAAACTGTAAGAAACCCTGACCTACACAAGAATGCCTGGCTTACATGCAAAGGTATGCCACAAGAGAAAGAGAAGAGCACGCAGCTCATAAGAAAGCACTAACTTCAAGTTTGTGCAGCAAGACAGACTGTTGCCTAAAACAGCCTTGATGTATTTGCTTTTAGAACTGGAAGCATATAACAAACAGAGCACAGGACTATATAAAGGGAGGAAAAAAAGGTCTCGGATTCTTGGGTAAGAAGTCAAGCACAAGCCACAACACTTACAGCCTAATTCCCTTTTGCTGCAAATCAAACAGGATACCACTTTTTCTACCCTCTGTGGCCCCAAGAAAACATATAATCGCATTTTTCTTGCTTGAAAGATTCTAACATCCTAAAGCCTC